TCCTGATGGAGCGTCTGTGGGCCAACACGCTTCCAATCAAGCAATTCCAAGTCGAGCAAGATGATGTTCAGCAAGACAAAATGTGCGCTGTGTGCGGCGGCTGTGGCGCTCTCGGCTAGTGCAGTGGACGCGTCTACCGAGGTGGCGCAGACGTACGGGCGTCTGCACCAGAACCACGACGGGTATGGCAAGAACGACGGCTACGACAAGCGCGACGCATACGGCAATCGGAACGTCTACGGCAAGAACAACGGGTACGGCAAGAACAACGGGTACGGCAAGCGAGACGGGTATGGCCAACAAGACAGTGATGACTCGCTCGATAGCTACGACACGCGTGGGGCGTATGGCAAGCAGAATGGCTATCGCAACAACGACGACTATGGCAGGCGTGACGGGTACGGCGGCGCGGCGGTGGGTATCAACGCCGCCGCGTGTCATCAAGCTGGCGCAGGTGTGGGTGCCAGAGGCTACGGCAGAGCTGGCGTCGGACTCAATGCGGGTGCTGGCTTAAACACTGGTGCTGGTCTCAACGCTGGAGCGGGACTGAATGCCGGTGCCGGACTCAACGCCGGTGCCGGTCTCAAGGCTGTAGCGGGACGGAATGCCGGTGCCGGACTCAACGCCGGTGCGGGACTCAAGGCTGGAGCGGGACTCAACGCTGGGGCGGGACTCAACGCAGGTGCAGGAGTCAATACTGGTGCGGGAATCAACGCCGGTGCCGGTCTCAACGCTGGAGCGGGACTGAATGCCGGTGCCGGTCTCAACGCTGGAGCGGGAATCAACGCAGGTGCAGGAGTCAAGGCTGGAGCGGGACTCAACGTCGGTGCCGGTCTCAAGGCTGGAGCGGGCCTCAACGCTGGTGCAGGTCTTAGCGCTGGTGCGGGACTGAACGCAGGTGTGGGTGGAAACTCTGCCGGCAAGGCTTACGGAGGATACTCCAAGCCTGGCGCCTACCGCCACTTGCGCGCGTAAATACCCGGACCCTTGGGTTACCGAAGCTGATGAATCTGCACTTGTGGATCGCCATTCGTTGCAGCCAACCACACTCGGACGATGCGCCGAGATCTAACTTGCACGAGATACGTGCCTTACGTGTCGTTGTAGTAGCTGTCATGTATATAGGATTACTCAACGCTGTGTAGAAGCCGCTGAATCCAAACAAGAGCTTATTTTGTTGTACGCGTTGGTGTCCCTCCTGCATCCTCGACCATCAAAAATATGTAGCCGTCTCTGATGTTGAAGTGGCTGACCAATAAGGTAAAAGTAGTTGGAGCGGTATCTGCGAGTATAACACGAAGACTACACGTGTACTCGAGACAATTAGAACTGCGGGCATTCACACTAGCATACTTATCAAGAAACATTTACCGGTATTCGATACTTCAAGTATGTCTTGAAAATGATATTTTTGCATATTCAAAGACGGAGGAAGTGGCCTCTTATTGAAGCCTGATTTGCATTTCGAAAGACGTTGTCCTGTGCCAGACTAAAGAGGGTTTAACTTACAGTGAGCTCTCGCTGTACTGAATTGGATTTTCATCTGGATTGGATTTTTCACATAATGCCTAGATATTATAAAAGGTTCGTTTCTTGTGATAAACTGCGTACAGTGATATGTACTCGGAGCGACCAAATTTCGATCTAGTTACCTGTGCTTGAAATTAAATAAAAAATTATGCTTGACCTCGGGTTTGCTTGCGGGAACCCGGGTTCATTTTGCTAAGAGTTTCATGGTGGCTGCTAGAGAGCATTTTCAATACTGTATGGTATTGGCGTCCACGGGAACGATTTGGTGGTCAACAGAACCAGCGTCAGCTTGACCCGGTCCGAGATTCTACGAGAGAGATAGAGATAGAGATAGGACTTATGTAAGTTAACAGAAAGAGCTAAGGAGATTCTACAACTGTCAATGGAGGTGCCCCCTTTCAGATCCCAAGTCAAACGAGTCTGGATTCTGAAAAAAGGGCAGTCTAGGATTGAAATGCCTTCAAACGTCCGCGAGATATATGATGACACTACTCCCCTCCCAGGATTGTTGACCACCTTCCGATACCCTATATCGCTTTAAATAGTGTACATCATTTCCATGGTGTCCTGCGAGCTCCCCAGCAAAACAAATATTGAATAACTAGTACAAGTGTACGTGGCATTTGGATACCACCGGTGTTCTACCGTTTGCGATGACTGTAGAGCCGAGATTTATTTACCATCACATGGCGCATCAATGCCCCCTCCAACAAATATATGTTTAACCGTGTCTGTTTCAGCAACGAGCAGCAACAGTACTCAACGCAAGATACGTGAATGTATTTTAATAATCGCACTGCAGGTTAGAAACACAACCGCAGGTGACCCTGCCATCGGAGGGTTACCTTGTCGACAGGATTACTACCACCGCAACGAGTTCTTATGCGGCGACTCAGCCATCTGTTCCTACCCGTCGACTTGCAAACACCCAGCGAGCGGGCTAGTCGAGCGGTTGTCAAGCTGTTCGTTGCGCAAGAGGATATCACGCCAACTTCAGTCCTTCGCTGCATCGATCGGAGCAAAATGCAAGTGAGTTCATTCTTCAATTTCTGACGTCCTGATGGAGCGTCTGTGGGCCAACACGCTTCCAATCAAGCAATTCCAAGTCGAGCAAGATGATGTTCAGCAAGACAAAATGTGCGCTGTGTGCGGCGGCTGTGGCGCTCTCGGCTAGTGCAGTGGACGCGTCTACCGAGGTGGCGCAGACGTACGGGCGTCTGCACCAGAACCACGACGGGTATGGCAAGAACGACGGCTACGACAAGCGCGACGCATACGGCAATCGGAACGTCTACGGCAAGAACAACGGGTACGGCAAGAACAACGGGTACGGCAAGCGAGACGGGTATGGCCAACAAGACAGTGATGACTCGCTCGATAGCTACGACACGCGTGGGGCGTATGGCAAGCAGAATGGCTATCGCAACAACGACGACTATGGCAGGCGTGACGGGTACGGCGGCGTGGCGGTGGGTATCAACGCCGCCGCGGGGCTCCAAGCTGGCGCAGGTGTGGGTGCCAGAGGCTACGGCAGAGCTGGCGTCGGACTCAATGCGGGTGCTGGCTTAAACACTGGTGCTGGTCTCAACGCTGGAGCGGGACTGAATGCCGGTGCCGGACTCAACGCCGGTGCCGGTCTCAAGGCTGTAGCGGGACTGAATGCCGGTGCCGGTCTCAACGCCGGTGCGGGACTCAAGGCTGGAGCGGGTCTCAACGCTGGGGCGGGACTCAACGCAGGTGCAGGAGTCAAGACTGGTGCGGGAATCAACGCCGGTGCCGGTCTCAACGCTGGAGCGGGACTGAATGCCGGTGCCGGTCTCAACGCTGGAGCGGGAATCAACGCAGGTGCAGGAGTCAAGGCTGGAGCGGGACTCAACGTCGGTGCCGGTCTCAAGGCTGGAGCGGGCCTCAACGCTGGTGCAGGTCTTAGCGCTGGTGCGGGACTGAACGCAGGTGTGGGTGGAAACTCTGCCGGCAAGGCTTACGGAGGATACTCCAAGCCTGGCGCCTACCGCCACTTGCGCGCGTAAATACCCGGACCCTTGGGTTACCGAAGCTGATGAATCTGCACTTGTGGATCGCCATTCGTTGCAGCCAACCACACTTGGACGATGCGCCGAGATCTAACTTGCACGAGATACGCGCCTTACGTGTCGTTGTAGTAGCTGTCATGTATATAGGATTACTCAACGCTGTGTAGAAGCCGCTGAATCCAAACAAGAGCTCATTTTGTTGTACGCGTTGGTGTCCCTCCTGCATCCTCGACCATCAAAAATGTGTAGCCGTCTCTGATGTTGAAGTGGCTGACCAATAAGGTAAAAGTAGTTGGAGCGGTATCTGCTTCGTCGAGGAAACATGACAAAAATTACTTATTGTGACAAAATATGGTTTTCTCGAAAACTTTTATCTCTCACACCAGGTTTTGTCATTTTGAAGATGGACCTTACATAAACAACGTGGTTGGGTCCTCGTTGACGTAGTAGTAGAAATTCAGGACCATAGACCACGAAGAGTGTCTGCGCTGAGTGCGGGGATCCACCGACTCACTCCTTTATTGAAGAACATCACGGTCTTGTTTCTTATAGCACAGCATTCGCTCACGCTCATTTTTCTGTAGGCGCCGTTGCTCTTGTCTCTTTCGCACTGCAGTTATACTGCACGAAAACTTCTTCTTCCGGTGTCTCTTCAGTGCGGTGGGTAATAATGTAATCCAAACTTCCACGCTGCTGGGTGCTCGGCAATGACTCCGCTCTATGATCGTACTTCAACGCACTACCAGTAGCAGCTCTAGTACCTAATACCTGCTCTGACACATGTAATGGTATCTGCTCCTTAAAACAACAACCATTCTGTTAAACTACTGATTTGCTCTGTTGAGAATACTCGTCGCTCATCGATGAATTTGGTACTTCTTATTGCAAAAAAATATATAATACTATTACCTATGGTATTAAATTGAAGGAAAATATTTGATGCCAAAAAGAAAGGCAATTTATAAGAGATAGCATAAAATAAAACCCAAAAAATATCAGATTATCAATAATAAATAATTAGTTTAACGGAAACTTATTGAAGAAATATGGATATTAAAAAGCATACTATTGGAAAGATTTGTCTTCAGTAAAGCTTAGTGCTATGCCCTGCTAAAAATATGAAGAGTGCTCTAATGCATTAGAGATTAAATCCGTGCCAATTAACACATAATTTGAGCCTGTACTTCTCTTATTTAAATTCCCCAATTGTGGAGGACGTTGATACCAAATTTTCTCTTCTATTATTTTTTTTGTTTTTAAGTACTGTAAATTACGTTATTGCACTCGTATTTTCGGCATGGTTACTTAACGCGTTCGTCGTCAAGATAGAACATATACGGTGGGCATGCCATGAAGGTATATGTGGTTGAAATATATTCACGTATCATTACAGGTTGGAGGGGCAATCCAGCGCGTCTCACTGCCGATAAAACCAGTTTAAAGTTCATTCGCAATATGGTTAGCTCCATTTCCACTGGGCTGGCCAGAAGTCATCATGCTCATGAAGTCGCCAACGGGAGGGTTAGCCGCCTTAACAGTAGGAGAGCTAAGCCCGCCATGTGCACTGTAGTCGTAAGCCTGGCCACCGTGGTACGAAATATCCATGCCGTTTACTTCTTTCTCCTCCGAGACGCGAAGACCCACCGTGTACTTAAGCGCCATTAGGATGAGGAACGTCACCACTGCCGAGTACGCAGCTGCCACACACTGTGAAACGAGTTGGTGTACGAACTGCATTCCGTGGCCGTAAAATGCACCGCCTTCAATAGACGGGTTTATCTCGGAGGTGGCGAATAGACCCGTAAGCAGACCGCCCATGAAGCCGCCGCAGCCGTGGATACCGAAGGAGTCGAGAGTATCATCATAACGCAGAACGTTCTTGAGGTGGACAGCACCGAAACCAGTCGCAGAACCGACGACGCCAAAGATGACAGCAGCCCACGGGTACACAAAGGCACAGCCTGGGGTGATGGCCACAAGTCCAGCAACTGCTCCACTGATGGCACCGCAAGGATCAAAGTTCTTGTGGAAAGCGAACTCAAGAGCTGACCAGGTCAAAAATCCAGCACATGGCGCTAGATGCGTGTTGATAGCAGCAATCGCAGCAACGCCGTCAGCCGCCCCCTGAGATCCGGCGTTGAATCCAAACCAGCCGAACCATAGCAGCGTGGCACCGATCATCACCAAGGGTACGTTGTGCGGCTTCACAGGCTCGCCGTGGTTGTATCGCTTCCCCACCACAATGGCGGCCACAAGGGCACCAAACCCACTGGAGACGTGAATGACTGTACCACCAGCGAAATCGAGCGCACCCATCTTGCCTTCCCAGCCCATTGCAGTGATCTCCCAGATTTCATCGAGCTTGAGCGACCACATCCAACGAGCCAGAGGGTCGTATACGATGGACGTCCACAGCAGGATGAAAAGCAGGTAGCTACCAAACTTCATGCGGCCGACAATTCCGCCGCTGATCAGCGCTGGTGTGATTGTGGCAAACTGCGTCTGGAAGAAGGCGAAGAGGATGTGAGGGATACTGCCACCATACGTTCCACTAGCGACGGCGCCAACATTGTTGTACCCCGCCCAGGCGAATATACCGTCGGAACTGAAGCAC